AAAAAAAAAAAAAAAAAATCCAAAACAAAAAATCATTTTCTAATGAAATCTCTCCCTCCTTTCTGCTTCTCTGAATTCTTCCCACTGCAAGCTCCACCTTCTCAAAGAAACTTTCCTTGATTTTTCCAGCACAGTGATCTTTCTCGTCTCTGCATCCCTACAGAACTTTACTGTTTATATCTGGCATTTACTATACATTTATATCGACTGGTCTTATCTATCGATAAGATCTATCGACCTATCTATCCATCCATCTATCTACATTTCATGGCAAGTTGTTTTTTCCACAGGCATTCAAAGATCCCCGAAGGCTGGGTCCTACCTTAAATTCTTTTGTACCCTCCAAAATCCTTCACACTATGCATTCCATATGGTGAGTGGCAATATTCTGATTGCCACTTAAAAAACAAAAAACAAAGTTTGGCTTTTTCATGCATGGTAAGAACAATCTTTTCACACATAAGGAGCACCCACTAAATATTACTCTGGTTCACAAACAGAATTTACTAATATAAAAAGTAGAATAGTTGGGAAGTTTCAAGAAATCGTCTAGTTTTATAGAGCAGATACCTAGTGGAATGCGTTGTAATAAAAACATATTAGTAGCTTCAAATAATGGGGGATACATTTAAACTGTATTAAAATATCTTTCCAGAATCAGAAAACTTGATTAGGGTTCTCCCAGAGGCTTCACACACTGTAACCAGAGATTTCTTATTCCAGGGAAAGGAGGCTCAATTTAAAAAAATTCATCTTATTAATTATTAGCCAAGCCATGCAGCAGCTTCCCGGAAGGCACAGGAAAACAGGTTCTCTGTGATTAGTTTCAAGCCAATGGAAGCTGGGTTTGTGCCTCAAGCCTTCCGCGCTCGGCAGAGCACTGCTCCCCAGGGCTAGGGTAATTCAGCCCAGAGCAAACAGCAGGAAGGGTCAGAGGGAAACCTTGGAGTCTGAGCAGCGGCCGCGGGCTGGCTGCTCCTGACTCAGAGGTTCTCTGTCCTAGGAAGCTTCGGCTGGTACCAGCGCCATCCTTCCCTCCTCCCACACAGGCGCAACTTGGCAGCCAAACCCTAAGGCTTCAGGTACCAGCCACCCAACGGCAGCTTCATTCTGGGGATGAAGGGCGGGTTCTAGTTCCAGGGCAGGTTGCTGTTAGGAAATTAGCTTTTAGGGTCCACTCACCTCACCCCTATTTCTTAAAAAAACTTCATTCCTCTCCAAATAGAAATTCATACCAAGCAAGAATTACCCCACCTCACCCCAGCGGGTCCACTCCCCTTCAGCCTGAGAACGGCACCTACTCACGGCCCCTCCCAGCCCCGGGACAGGAGGCAGGCTCAGGTGTGTGGGATCCCCGGGCTGGGTGGCGGGCCAGCGGGCGGGCGAGCCGTCACCTTGTGGTTAGCCACACCGAGGTATCCGTCCAGCGGCCGCGGTCCCGAGGGCGCCCCGGGGTGCGGTGGGGGGCTGCTCTCCGCCGACGGCTGCGCGCTGCCTGTCGCCGCCTGCTGCTGCTGCGGGAGCCGCTCCTTCTGGCCGCCGAGGCTGCTGTACACGAGCAACAAGCTGGTGCACATGGTGGTGAGCGCTAAACACACTGCCAGACCATGGCGCTGCGGGAAGGCGGGAGAGAGCAGAAGAGAAGAGGCTGAGAGCCGACCCGGGAAGAGCGCGCCCGGCGGGGACACCGGCGCTAGGGTCGGACGGGCGGGGGAGGTACGCGAGCGAGGGTGGCCGGAGCCCCAGCCACCGAAGAGCGCAGCGCGGGAGAGGAGGCACGGTCCCCGCGCGTACCGCAGGGGATGCTCCCGGCGCGTCCCTGCTCTTGGCCGCCGCCGCCCAGGTCTCTCCGCAGGGGGCAGGTGGTGCGCGGCGCCCGGCTGCGGGAGGGCGGGCGCGCCCGGAGGGCGAGGGCATAGGTCGGCTCGCACTTTGGGGAGATGGCCTTCTGCCCCAGTTCGGCTGCTGTAATCTTTAGCCATTGCACCCCCTTTCTTCCCTGGATCCCTGGGGCCCTTTCTCGGCGATTCTTGCAAGTTTGAAATCTGACAAGGAAACCAAGAAAGTCTGCAAAGGTAACCCCTGCCCGCCCTTCTTAGTTTTGCCAGGCTGTTCCTCTGGGGTACCCCCCGTCCCCCGAGCAATCCGCTCAGCCCTCCACCATTTCTCCAGCTCTCCGCTGGCCCCATGGACCTTGGCCAGAGCTCCAGGAGCCGAGGCAACCCCAGTTCCCCATCCCGGCTCTGGGATTCCGAGCCAGGCAGAGCCGGGGAGTCGAGAGGGGACGTGGAGCAGGTGGAAAGTTGTCCCTATGTAACAGGCGACCTCGCAGCGCAGGGTTAGCGCCCCTCCCCGGGCTCCCCCCTGCGCCCGGGAACGTTGCGCCCGCTGGTCCCCGCCTCAGCCCAGAGGAGTTACAGCAACTGACTCACCATCAGGGTCTTCATTTTGGGCACCTCTTTCGGGCGGAATACTCAGGCACGCGAGTCCGTGACTACTTTTTCTTGGAGGGATTCCATAGTGGGTGATGGAGAGGGGTGGCTCTGATTGTTGCCCGGCGGCCGGCCGCGGCTGAGCAAGCGCGGGAACGGCGGGACCCAAGAAGCGCGGCTGTTGCAGAGATTAGAGACAGAATTAAAACTGAACCGGACCCTCGTAGTCTCTCAGTGATCTACACAACAGCTGCCTGCCGCCGCCTGCTGGGTCCTAAAGCCCTCCTCATCGCCCTACCGCCCCCAGCCCCCAAATAATAATCTTTTCAGCCGAGTGGAATTTCTGGGGCGAGAGAGTTAACCATGCCATATACCCACCTCTTGGTCTGAGGGCTTATTTATCTTTTACGAAGTCATCAAGTAAAAATGAAGGAGAACCCGACAGGATTCTGAATTTGATAGCCATTTGGAAATCTGCAAACTTAATTTTTGGCTTTGTGATTTTGATAAGCACAATTCAACCGCCCAAATGTCAATAGTCTTATTTATAGCTTTTGCATTTACATTCATAGCATGGAGAAATCTATCACGAAATTATTTTCCTCCCCAAATTGTTTACTATTTCAGTTTTCCAAATGTAAGATTTCTAACATCATCTTTTCCCTTAATTGTACCTTTTAAACCTGGTCATTATCGTGCAATCTTTATATGACAATATTTGGTCTAAATTATTTCATCGATTGTTTGTTTTAAATATTATAATTTATACTTCTGTTGCTCCTTTGAGGTTCCTAGTGTTCATCTCAATGATTTTAAAGTTTTAAAGCCATTCAGTACATTATATCCATATGATTAACTGGACCTGTAGAGTCTTCCTAATTTTAATGAAAAATTTCTGGCTGCTAGAGATAAAACTGTTCACTGCTTATTTCATAAGAATCTTAAGGCCTTTGATACTTTCCTTATGTTGGTCTACTACACGGATGTTACATAATTTCACATTCAGATTTTCGATTAAAAAATATCCTGATTATTGTTTTATGTTGGGAATGCCACATCAATAACCTGTTTTAAGGATACTTTCTCCCCTTCATTGAATTACAAATCGCATTTGTTAAATGTCTAATTTAGCTAAAAACATACTTCTTTTGAAATTGCTTGGTGAAAATAGTTCTCTTAATGTATTCCTTAACATCGAACCTGTAGCAGGGTAGTGTTAAAGATTACATTACAATGGAAATGATCAGCGGGCCAACTGAACCATGAGCACAATAACAGCTTTCTCAAGGCCAAAACAGGCATTACAATCCGTTTTTAATCTTCACTAATCCATTGCTGGACTGATGATAAAACAGGAACTATATTTAACTTATGAGGCATCCTTCCATACTTAGTATTAAGAAAGTTAAAATTATTAGATGCAACTTTAATAATTTTACACGTGCAAAATGTTTGGAGGAAGGTAAGAAATGCACAGGATTTAGCCTTTCAAGGAAAAGCAAAAAATTCGAAACACTGCCCAACATTGCCAGCCTTGGAGCTATTTATTCAATTTGTGCTTGGGCATGAATAGTACCAGTTGTTAGGGCAGAAAAAGCAGCAGCCAGAGGAGAATCTTATCAGGTCTTGGCAATTCTTTATTGTACGGTTGCACTTGACACTCACATTAGTGAAACAAAGGACCAACTTGATGAATCATTGCAAGCAGATTATCTGTGTTTCTCCAGAGCTCCCTTAGAGATGCTACAACGGGCAGCTCCTGCATGTTTCAGGATTGTTCCCTCTCTATCCAGCGAGTTGCCCAGTGACCAATAAAACACTTCTTATATATTTTGCCATGCCAAATAGAGGCATCATATTTATGATTTAAGCTTATGTTGCCACATTGGACATCTGTTACATGGTATAGCTAACCAAATTCATTAAGCGTATGCTTTTTTTTTCCTCCTGGGATAGCAGGTTAGCTAGTTGCTAAATCTACTTATGAAATGGCCGGAGTAAATTTAGAAATGTAATTCTGAGCTTGATTGGAATGATTTCAAGGTCTCTAGCTCTCAGATATTTGACTAGATTGATGCAGTGGTTTTAGGCACTCTGCCCTGAGAGCCAAATGGACAAGGTGGAGTGGGGGGGGGGGCAATACAGAAAACACGTAACAAGTTAAAACCCTCCAGGCTGTTCAATTCAGTGATCATTTAATGATCACCTGCTATCTGGAAAGTTCTATATTAGGGAATGCAGAGAAGAGTAAGACGCGGACCCTGTCCTCTAAGAACTCACAACATAGTATGTGTGGATATGTGAGTGAGTGTGTCTTTGTCTGTGTAATGTTCTGCGACAAGTCCATGAATAATCAATAAAAGACAGAGTACTATAGATTTAATGTATATTTATTAAGCACCTACTATGTTGAGTGCCTACTATGTGCCAGGCATTTGGTATACCTGGATGAGTAGACCACCTGTCTGCCCTCAAGGAGCTTATGGTCTCTTCCCAGATAAACGTGTCATGTAACTTTATGCTAAAAAAGAAATGTTATAAACTAGGAAACAATCAAAAGACTTGATTTACCTTTCAACTTTTGAGTGCTTACTGATTTAAGATCTGAGGGCTACGATATCCCAGGGGTATCTACTTAAGTTTACGTAGAATAGCCAGAAAGAGCGGAAAACGGGCAGCATTCACATATGCTTGACTGACTTGGAGGCAAGCAGGCAAGTCAATGATGCTTGTTTGGTTCATCTAACTTTCCCAGTTCATACAAAGTGAATCGAGAAATCACAATTTGCTTTTCAAAATCCAGGTATCTGAGATACATTTCTCACCATTTAAAATTTTGCCACATTTGTGTCTCTGGTGCCAACACATCCAACCAAATAGATTTCTATTTTTGAAAAAAAAAAAAAAGAAAAGGAAAAGAAATTGAGTGTTCCCTAATGTAGGTTATGTGATAAATGGTGGGGCGAGGAGGGAGGTGGAATTTGAAGCTCAATGGGAGTGCCAACCTGTGCACGAGCCAAAAAGGCACCAAAGAAAGAGGAAGGACAGACTCCATGGGCCCTACCCAGGGTTCCTGAGTGACTTCTCAATTCAGAAAGAGATGAGTTTGTTTAAGGATGAATGAAAAGCAGAAAACAACATAATGCGAACCATATCTGAGATACAACAGCTTTCCACCTTATGATCTTGAAGAAAAAGTTCTGCTAAACACAACAAAAGCAAATAGTTTAATAATGACTGGTAAAAGGTCCTAGAACAAATTTGGTATTTGTCCATTTGCTTTCTGTGGTTTACTTAACTCACTTCATTTCAGAGGTTAGGTCTAATGAGCTGGTGGTTGAGAGCAAGACCCTGGAGTCAGGCTGCCAGAATCTAACTTCTGACTTTGTTAATCAGCTCTCTGATCTCGGTAAGTTACTTAGCTTCTCTGACTTAGTTTTTTCATCTGTAAAATAGCAAAAGCACATACCTCAAAGCATTGTTGGGAATGTTAAATGAAATACTACAAGTGAAGTGCTTAGAGCTGTACTAACAAACTGTTAGCTCTCATTACTAATATTTTATGATTATGATTAATAAACTGAGTTTGAAAGCAAAGGACTAGGGCTTGAGCCTTGTTCCTAACAGCTCTGTGACCTTGAGCTGTTGTTATTAGTTGCCATCAGGTTGATTCTGACTCATGGTGACCCCATTTGTGCAGAGTGAAACTGCACTCCGTAGGGTTTTCAAGGTTGTGGCCTTTCACAAGCAGGTCTCCAGGCCTTACTTCAGAGGCGTCTCTGGGTGGATTTGAATCACCAACCTTTCAGTTAGTAGTCCAGCTCTGACACTTAACTCTCCTGTGACTGAGAGCAAGCCACTGATCTCTCGTCTCAATTTCCTCATTTGTAAATGGAAGATAGTAAAACCTTTATGGCAGAGTGGTTGTATAGCCTAAAATATTAAGTCTTCACCACCATTTTGTTTAGACAAGTGAATCAATCAGAAGATACGTTTTTCATAGGGGACTGCTTGTTTGGTATAAAGAGATGCACATTCCTCCTTCAAATGTTTATTGAGCTTATAATAAAAACAATAGTTAATATGTATTGAGTGCCTGCTGTCGAGCATTCTGCAAATTATAGGCAGTGGCTTATTTAATCCTCAGAGTGACTGTCTGAGGTAGGCAGTGATGTCATCTCCATTTTACCAACAAAGAAATGGGTATGGAGAGATGGGACGTGATTTGCCCAAGGTCATTACCAATGGCTAAAAAGTGACAGAAGCAAGGTTTGACTAGGTCTGTCTGACTGCAGAGCCCACCCTCACAATCTCCACACTCACAGCTTCCTAGATGCTCTGTCCAGCTCTAGGTCGGGACCTCTATTAGATGCTGCGGATGCAAAAGGAATAAGATGCAGTCCTCACTGCAGAAGACAAACTCATAAACAGACCACAATAACCCAATGCATTAAGTGTAAAAGTTGAGTTATAAACAGAAATGTAGAGGGGGCACAGATTAGGGACACCCATCCATACCAGAGTAGTTCAGATGTTATTTCTGGCACAGGGGAAATGCTGAGCCAGTTTTAATGGATCACTAGAAGTAGGCAGGAGAGGGCCAGATTTTCCAGGCAGAGAAGACTGCATGAACAAAGGCATGAGAGCATGAAATGTAACTGCTGGGTAAAGACAAGCAATTCTTGGTGAGATGGGAGTGGTCAGAATCAGGACAGTCAGGTAGAGTTGTACAGGGTGTGCAGTGCACAAGAAAGCCACATCTGAGTGGTCATCACCCATCACAGACATTGCTGATATGCTTTTTTTTTTTTTTTTGTCATTTACTTGAAAATGTCCCTCAGGCATTTTGTTCTAACAATAATAGAATATTACAATTTTCCAGTAGATAGAAGTGTCCTAAGTAACAGAAACCTTTTAAGATTTGCACAAAAGTGCCATTTAGGCTAGTAGCAGCCTGCTCAAAATTGCTTTCTAGGTAGATCTCTCTAGAGGCAGAGAGTAGGATGATTTGTGGA